ACTTTGTTGTCATGTTTCCTTAGTCTTTTCTATGTGAGTTTCTTTGTTTTCATGACCTCAACAGTTTTGGGAGGTAGTGATCAGTTTGCAGAATGTCCCTCAATTTGTGTTTGTCTATGTTTTCTCATGGTTTGACTGGTGTTGAGGGTTTTTTGGAAAAAAAAAAAAAAAGTAACAGAGGTGAAGTGTCTTTCTTATCACATCATATTAGAGGGCACATGATGTCCATGTCATCATTTATGTTCACCTTGATTAGTTTAAGGTAGTATTGGCCAACTTCCTCCATTGTAAGCTTCCCAGAAAGTTTTCCTTTTCTCACAGTTGTCTGGTTTTTATTTATTTTAATGTTTTTATTGATTTTTAGAGGGAGAGACACCTATACATTGATGAGAAACATTGATCAGCTGCTTCCTGTATGTCCCCTACTAGGATCGAGCCTACATCCTGGGCATGTGCAAAAGACATATGATTCTATTGATATGAAATGTCCAGAATAGGCAAATCTATAGTGATGTGTTAGGTGTGTATATGGGGGGTGGAGGAACTGGGCTGTAATAGTAAATGGTATAGGTTTTCTTTTGGGGATCATGAAAATGTTCTAAAATTGATGGTGATGATTGTACAACTCTGTGAATATACTAAAAGCCACTGAACTGTACACTTGAAATATGTGAATTGTATGTGAATTATATCTTAATAAAATTCTTATCAGAAAGCCAAGGAACACATGGCAAGGCAACTATACTCATTCAAATTATACTCTTTCAAGCTAAAGTGACGGACCGTACAGCTATTAAATTCCAATTTTGTGCTTGAATACCTGCCTAAAAAATAATAACACGACCAATAGTAAGTACCATTTAAATTTTTATTAATAAAACAGAAAACAGAAGTCAGACAACTGCTTTGTTACTCTTTGATCTGACCATATGCCAGATAAGTGATTCTTTATGAGGAGGTAGGAAAGAACTGTCAATATACCAGTTCCATTAAAAATGGCATACTGGAATATCTAATAAAGTTAGGTAAATGAAATTACAAAGAGAACAAATTAAATATTAAAAGTAACAAGAATCTATCCCTCAAATATCAGGGATCTCCTTTAACAGTCTTCAATGCAGCTCATTTACAATTAAGATCAATCATACTGCATAACCCCCAAAGGAAAAAACTGAGGGAACTCATGGATAATTTTCACAGCTTCATTGTAAAGTCCAAGATCTGAAAAAAACATTTTAGCAAACATTTAATCTACAGTGGAAAGTTGTGATATCAACTACTATCTAAACATTTCTACCTCTTTCTCTTTTACCTCCCTTTTAACTGTCAACTTATTTTCCCAATCCATCTTCTAAAACTGAGATTTGGATCATCATATTTATTTAACTGTGGCTCCAAAAAATGAAAGACATGGGGGATAGGAGATCATCCATTGTATTTTGTGTTTTAGGTCTTATACATTATTTGATGGCTTTAATCCATATATTAAAACAAAACAAAAGAGATTAACATTATTTTTGTTTGGCTTAATAAAATTATTTCCACAAATGTTAAAATTTACCGAGTTTCTTACAAATACACACACTACTTAGAAGCAGGGCAAAATGTCCTCCCATTTTCGAGATCAGAAAATTCTATAGAAATTGAAAATGTAACAGGACTGAGACTAAAGAATAAAATTTGTTTTTCTCCTAAATACATGAGACTAAATGCCTTATTTACCAAAAGGATGGTTATCTTCTTTAAACTGGACATAAGATGAGCACATAATGGTTGCCTTGGCTGTTACTCTTCCAACTACTTCCACGATTCCAGAGATTTCTTCATCAAGCTAACAACACAAAGAACAAAATACCAACTTCATGTTATCACATTTTCAGATGAGAATTAACTCGGAAAATTGTTATCTTTCATTTCATGTATCAAAATAATTAAAAATTTACCAATGCCCAGAGTGAAGTGCAACCTGTTAAAAAATGTTTTGAGTACTTGCTGTCTGCATGTCACACTCCTGTTAACCTTTAGCTATAGCTCTAGGTCCAAAGATACAGCTGAACATTTAAGTTGAAGACAAAATCACTTAAAGATACTGAAACTGTCCAGCAGTTTTATAAGGAGTAATTTGTTCAAAAAGACCAATGAAAGGAACCTTCTATTACCTATTATCTTGCACAGTATATTCTGTATACATGAAGCATACAGCATATGCATTTGTCTTAATAAAAGACAAAGAAAATGTAAATATAAAATATAAAGACAAATTAAGTGACAATTAAGAATATATGTAAACAAAAATAGAAAACAGGATTAAAAAAATATATTCATGTTTCCTTAAGGAAGAAAAGTGATTTAAACAAAAGATTTACCTTACGTGATTTTATGGTCTTTCAAAAGACACGAGAATTCTCACCTAGCATTTAAGGGATGTATTAAAAATATCATGGAGTCCAAATAATCATTGGTTAGACATGTAAAGGGAAATAGAATGTAATACAAGGACAAAAATGGACGTTTACAGCCAGGGAAGTTTTACAAGCTGATCCTTTATACATCCACTCCAAGAACCAAAAATATCAGCAACAACCCAAAACAAGATGTAGAATTAACTCTAATATGCACAGAATTAATACTTGAACGTACAGGCTCCATCAATTCAATGGTTGCACTTTTCCCTTCTCCATCTGAAAGAATAAACATTTTTCCAGTGGGATGAATCTAAAAAAGAAATACACAATGAAAAAAATAAATCCGACATAAACAAAACCTTTAAAATCTCATTAAAATAAAAATATTAATTTGACAAAAGATGGGTAGGTTGACCCAAACTTTTGTAATAGATACATGTGTGCAAAGCAATTGTTTTTTGACGTTTATTTGGTTCAAATTATAATCTTGTGTCACTATATCCATTCAAACGACCCTGTTATATTTCAATTTCCAGATGAACACCTTTTTTAGTACAAATATGTCCTGTATTTTTAATTGCTGTATCACACAAACCTATGCTAAAAACTAAAGGGAGTCCATACTATCTAAAAATGAACTCTGCTGGGGCCCATGATTTTAAATCGTACATATTCCAATGAGGGTATGTTTTAAAAATCAGGCATGATTTAGTAAAGAGAATCAGTTGTCAAAAGATCTGGGTTCTAGTCTTGTGAGACAGCTGCAAAGTGTGCAGTCAGGTCTGTTTTGAGTGCTAGCTTTGCTACTTGATGTGGCCTTGAACATTTTTTGTTTGAATCTTTTTAATTATCTTCTTTTAATCTTTTTTAAAGTATTACATATGTTCTCTTTTTCCTCTATTAGCCTTTTCCTTCCCCCCTCCCCCATTCAGGCCCTCACCATCCCATTATCTGTGTCCACGGGTTATGTATACATGCATACAAGTTCATTGGTGGATCTACACTCCTACCAAATTTCCCTACCTGTGAAGTCAGAATAACACCTATTTTAAAAAGAGGTGTGTGGCTGATATTACTAAGCCTTTATATAATATTCGTTTTCGTTCAGCTTTCTAACCGGGTTCACCGATTCTGAGGGGCCTGTTTCTCACCAGGAGGAGGAAGGGGCTGCACTCGAACACCGGGATAAGATAACAGACAGCTATGGGATCTGCAAGGGGCAATCGAGGAATATTTTATCGAGAAGTGATTTCAAGGAAAAACGAGGTTTGAGAAGGAGAATTGCAGAAGAGAAGAAAACAAGAAAATCAGACTAGCCGTCAAGTCTGGCTAAACTAAAATATCAAGAAAGTAGATGTGGGAGTCAAGTCTACCATTACTTTTACGTAAACACAAACAGAACCAGGGTGGGGGCGCTAGAACTTAGAAGGGAGCGCATTCGCAAACGTTGCTATTCCGCGCCATAAAAGAGGCGCCAAAATGGGGCTGCAATAGCTAAAAAGTGCGCAAAAATAAAGCAACCGGGAGCGCAGTGATGTCAAGGCTTTCTATCTGTCCTCCACCCTCCGTTACCCGTCCTAAGGCCGCCCCCAGGCAGTCAAGGGGTCCCTTCCCCTCCCGCCACTCTCCCCCCCACGCCCCCCACGGACTATGACCAGGGAGCCCGGCCGACGAGCGAGCACCTTTTCCAGCCTCCCTACGAAGCAGACGGGCCGGTCGATGGACTGGGCTAGCATGCTGGCGTTGATACGCGACTTGGGCAACTCCATCACCTCCACCATCATTGCGGACGGAGATCGGCGGCCGGCGGGAAACCAGCGGCGCAGTCAAACAGCCGCTCGCGGGCGTCTATGGGACCGAGTTCCCCGGCACCAATCGTAGAAGACCAGCCCTCTCGCTCCACCAATCACACGCGCGGAAATCCTCACGGTCTCCGCCAAAGGGAAAGCGAAAGGAGGGACGCGAACGGAAGTGGGGGGATCTGCTGCTTAGTGATGCGCGGCGTCCCGGAAATGGCCCCGGTCCACGTGGGCGAGGGCATGGAGGCGGGGCTTGGGTGGGGCGGGGCCTGAGGCTCGCTCCGCTGAACTCCGGCCGCCCCGAGGCACCCTGACCCCGGAAGCAGGGTGCCGGG